GGATGACTGCATGAAGCAATTTCCGTCTTCTGATTTCAGAATGTGCCTCTTTTTTTTATTTAAATTACTTTGCTTGGAATAAATGTTAGGGAAACTGCTATGCAAAAAAAATTTTAGAAATGTTCAGAATTTTGATTTAAGTTAAATTATTTAAATATGATATGAGTGGAAAAATAAATTGTTTTATTATTAGGTGCCAAACGATACATTAATAGGACTTATTATTTTTTATTGTATATATTTGACTAAATTTCATCATTAATCTTGTAATAGTTTAGTTCTGCATAGTTTTTTTTTTCCTCTCATTGTAACTAATTCGTAAATTGAACTGTTATTTAAAATTTAAAAAAAAGTTGTTTTTCCATGGTTGATGTGATGCTCATTTTCTTAATAAATATTGCATTGCTCATATTTTAAAATACAAGTCTAATTTTTCTTTTAAGGTTATGCAGTTGTGTATAATGTAATTAGACAGGTGCTTATTTTTTCCTTAAAATGTGCTTGAAAAGTGCTTATAGGTGCTTATTTTTTTAACTGAAATGTGGCTACGAACCCTGTTACTGATTCTAAAGAATTTCAATTAATGTAGCAAACTGTGCTGCTCCTTAATCTTCTAATTTGATCCAGCCTATTATTTTTTGCAGACTGTTATTGTTACAACAATTTTATAAAAATTAAAGCTTGAACTCTCAAATATGTCGAAAAGAATTTCTAATTCTGTAGCTGAATCTACAAACAGAAAGCATGTTTCGATGTCCATTACACGAAAAGTAGAATTGCTGAAAAAAATGGATAAAGGCATATCTGTGTCAAAATTATGCGAAGAATGGGGCATTGGAAAGTCAATTGTATACGACATAAGAAAAAGGATTTTTTTAAATTTTTTGGGGATTCCGACACCCCACTCACAATGAATAACAGAAAAATTGTTTGTTATGCTAAAAGTGATGATCATAACAGAGTGACCATTGAATGGGTCAGACAGAGACACAGCGATGGCATCCCGTAAAGTTATTCAAATGTCGTCTAACAGATTGATTGTTCCCACTGAAGCAGCAACTTGACGTCGTTTAAACTGATAAATGCCATGCAATAGCTTCCCAGAAATGCTGAGTGATCTTTTTACCCCTCCAACAATGCCCCATTACATCTAGCTGCATATATATGCATGTATTATTGTACTTGACCCTAGTCAATCACCTGATTGGTATTTCAGTCTGCTGTGGCTTTTTGTTCTGCTGATAAGCTAATTTTTCAACTACGTCCTTCATTTTTGCCCACCAGTGTATGTATAAAAATAACTGTGTTTGACAGTGCAGCTTTTTGTAAGTTTCAAAATATTGACAAATTTTAACAAAAAGTTTGCTTTTGTCAACCACTTAATGAGATCACCTTCTTCCATGACAATTTTGATAACATTAAACATTGAGAAAAATTATACCTCAAAACAAGAATGGAATTTATCTAATTTAATGTAAGTAGAAACACATAAATATATATACTTTTATAGCATTGCAATTAAGAAAAAGTCGTTACTAATGGAATGTCTGCAAGTATTACACAGGAGTTCATTTATGAACTGTTCGCATCATATCTAGAAATTATTTGACTTATGTGCCATATTTGGGAGGTATCTCTCACTGGAAGAGAATATGTCTCTGTAAAATTTTAAATTAAACAAAAAAGTAACCATAATTTGTCATAGATGATTTTTTCAGGAAATTTTTTTCAAGGAAAAAACATTCTGCAGATCCCCCTTCCCTGTAGAAGAATGACTTGTGCCTGATCACCCTCAAAACCATTAGTTATTCAAGATGTGTATTAAGCTAAGGTTGTTTTTTACTTAATTTTAAACATTTGACTGAAATTGAAACCGAGCTGTTTGATGACTTAACCCCTTATTTGGTGACATTTCTGTTAAATCTATTTTAACCTAATTTAGCAACTTATTATTTCAGTTTTAAAAAATGATTCTGTGTTAGTTTGATCATATTAACAGAACTCTTGATCACAGTAAGCGAAGTATGAATATTTTCATATATAAATGGGGAAAACCTGCAATTTGGTAACAGTATCTGAATGACAGCATTAACCACTATCGCATCCAATACCGTCTACCATATCTTTTGATTATTCAGAATTAACCATATATTTTTTTTTTAATTACTTAACTTCAGATTTAGTGTCAAAGGAATTTTATTATTATCCCTAAAGGCTCTACTTGGCTGTTTCCTTTCCAAGATCTTCAGCTATTATATAAAATAATTCTTAGATATGCGTCCTTCACATTAGCAGTAGTCATTTGTTTGTTTTGAGGATGTATATCATTTCACACCTAAAAGGGTTAGTACTGCGGCACTGACTAAATGACTGATTAAGACACCATGACTTTTCTTGATTGGTCTCCACATCAATTGTTTCTAGTCAAATTGACTGATCTTCTGAATAGCTTATTTCCTTCTTAACTGAGAGTTTATTAAATTTTTAAGCCATTATTAATTTTATAGATTGTACTCATTTATCACGAATTAATATTTTTCAGGAATCTTGTTTCAAAATTACTAGTTTTTACATCAGTTCTTTCTCCTAAACAAAATATTTAGTTGTCTTCATTTTGGAAATTTACTTTGCTCTTTTTTAACCACTTTCAGCTATAACATACAGTATTTTATTAAATGTAATAAAATGTTCTAGTTACATGTCATCCAGTATTTAGATTTCAAATAATTACAACATATGTGCACATCTGAATGGAAATATACATACATATAGTATATATATTCTGTAGGCAACTTTTCCATTACAGTTAAAACAGGTTAAAAATCCTGTGTGACTGACTACTCTTATATAAATTCTTTGAGATTTAGAAAACAGCTGCATAGATAAAAAAGTTGACATAATGGAGAAGAAAAACTTCAGCAGATGTGGCTGAAGATAACAAGACACAATATATTTCTGGACATTTAATTATTGCAGTTCATAGTCTGAATCATATAATTTTAAATGTAATGAGCACCCTCCAAAATTTTATATAATTGATTACATCCCGAGATTATGAGCAACGTTCTCTGCTAGGATGTAATTTCTCTGACCTGCTTTCTATCTCAACAATATCATAAATGTAAATTTTCTTGAAAAGGCACAATTAGGGTGCCAATTGATTGTAGCCAGAAACGTCAATTGCAAATAAAAATGGAATTAAAATCGACTCAACTGCCAAGTTTCTTGGATATTACAAACTCAACATATTAGCATACTATGCAATCAGAATTCTTCAATATGGATCTAAGTATGCATCAACAGTGCTCCGTCTTTTCCTTGCGTTTTTATTTCATATATGTATATATATAAATACGCACGTGTAAGATAAAAAGATGTAAATCTAAAAATTCTAATTTAAGCTAGCAATAAATTGCATTTAGTTCCCCCTTCTCTGTTCTAAAAATAGTAATAATTTTTCTGGACTCCATCATTTCTAGATCGGGTCTATGTCATAATGCTGATGACATAGCTGATTCGGAGCCTGGGCTCAAAATTTCAAGAACTGAAACCTTTCTCCTAATAAGCAACCAAAACCTTCTCTTGGTGCATTTCCATGTTGGATAATTGCGCACTTTTGCTTCTACAACTGTTGCCGCTATGATGGTGCTGCACTACTTTCTTCCTATCGCAATATTTTCAAAAATGTAAATATTCTGGAAGTAGGCACGATTAGAGCACCTGGTGAATTGTGGCCACAAATGTCAATTGAAATAAAGTTGAATATTTAATCTTACTTTATCTTAATATTCTTCTTCAGTATGGATCTACATTCTACGACATCAATATTTATATGTTTTTTTCATCACGCATATATATATATAAAGCACCGCAATATTTTCCATTTGCTAAACTGAAATGAACTAAAACATCAGTTGAGCTTAATTTTTTTGGTGGGTAGCAAATGTAGTTGCATTTCAGATTTATAAGCCAGATTGTTCAATGTTTTTTCCTTCCTTTTACAAATTATTCATTTTAACCATACCATGTTTATTGTTACAGCATAAGTTTTTCTAATTATTTGTATGTTATTAATGTTTAAAATTCAGTGTTATTTCATTATTTAGCATGTGTTAGACTTAACACCAGTCTTATGATACTGGGCATGTAGAATTGATATTTTTTCATTTCAATACAATTGTTGTTTTAATGTTACAGATTTAAGAATTTAGAATTTACACTTTTTTTTATCTTTATATTTTTTATATTTTGGATTGCTTTTGTTTGCAAGCTTTGTTTTTTAGACTCTGTCTGCTCAAAAAGAAAAAAATATGTTTCATTTTTAAGCTTTTTTGAAGCTATAATTTTTCAATTTTTTGCACTGATTACTGCAGCCTATTTTGCATTATATTTTCATTTTTTTTTACGCAATATTACTTGTATTTACATATTTTATTTTTTTTGATTAGGCCCTCCAAAAAAAATTAAGCTTTTTTAAACTTGTTTTTGATGCTATAATTTTGCAATTTTTTGCTCTGCTTACTGCAGCTGTAGGGGTTGGACTGATAAAGACACAGTTTACTTTTGTTAATTTTGTGATATTATTTTAAGTATTAAACTCTTAATTTTTAATTTGTATCTTTATTAGTTTAGAAACAGGCTTATATATTTATTTCTTTAGCTGCACCAAACTTTTGAGGATGATGCAATGAAAGATGCAAATTACTTTTTTGTGTTTGTTTATTTTAATGTTTTTTGCACCTTTTGTGTAATTTACCATTGTGATTCAGGTTTATATTTTTGCATATGGTTTGTTCCAAATTGAATATGGGATGGATTTTAAACGTATTAATTTATTTTGCATTGTTTCCACTAGTGTTGTTGCAATCAGTACACAACTGAATTAGGTTTTGAATTGCTTTTTACTTTTTATTTATTCATATAGTATTTCCATTTCAGATAAAATATTTTTAGTATAAACTGATTCTTTGTCAGATGTAATTTTGTATTGATTTTTTTAGGTGCAAAAACTCAAAAAATATTGGCAGCAAATCATGATTCTTTAGAATTGCATGGTCTGGGTCAGCATATGCATCGATCTGATGCAGAGCGACTCTTGAGGAAACTTGTGCTAGATCAGATATTATATGAAGATTTAGTCATAAATAAAATGGATTTGCCTGTAAATTATGTTTATTTAGGAAAGAGAGCTAAAGATCTAATTGCCGGAAAAATTAAGGTAAAAGATTTTTTCAGTTTTAATTGTACTTTGTTTTGATTATACATAATATTTCACTATAAGATCCTAGAAAATGTAAAAAATCGTTACTTATTGAGAATTCAGGAATATGAAATATATGATATAAAGAATTTCTTGAGAAAGAAGAGAAGACAACTGAACAAGGAATAATAATGTAGTGAAGATGCTGTTAATGACTTGCAATATTCTTGTGATTTTTTTTATTTTCATGTTGACTGTAGCTGCCACTTGCTATGATATTATAGGCTTCTGTCACATACAGATTGCTAACAATTACTAACAGACAGCCTCCCACTGCTTCAATTTTCCTGATTGGAGAAAATTAGTCTAGAAGAATGGATTCACCATAACAGAGCATGCGTTCACGTAGTTGTTTATTCATTGTTATTCATTGTTCATCAAGTTACTTGCAGATGCCTCCCACTGCTTCAATTTTCCTGATTGGAGAAAATTAGTCTAGAAGAATGGATTCACCATAACAGAGCATGCGTTCACATAGTTGTTTATTCATTGTTATTCATTGTTCATCAAGTTACTTGCAGATGGGATTGTTTAAGCAGTATTAAACAGCATTTTTGGTAATTTTAGTTAGCAAGAAAATTCTAGAAAATAGACAGTTGCAAGTTTGGTGAAAAAAATTTGGGAGAACAGGAAATACTCTGGGTGTCTGGGCAGTTGGTAAACCTCAGTGTCAGAGGAAATAAGCAGAGCAACCAAAGAAATCAATATGCAGACTTTTTTAGCAGACTGAATTGTTCTTAGCAGACTCAATCTATCAAAGAGGGACACAGAAGGTCTTTATCCGGACTTTAATCTGGACTCGTCGGGACTTCGGCAATTCCGAATTGGGTTTTTTTCCGGATTATAGATCATCAATTTAAATATGGTAAGATGGCATGCAGAAATTATAAAATTAAAAATATGAAACTGTAATTTATGAAATAAAGAGCAATTATGATCTAAAGGATATCAAAATTTACCAAAAAAAAAGCTTAATATTTATTTTACTTTATTAAACATTTCTTTCAATGCGCGCATGCATAAAGCATACATTACGCATAGTCGAAATTAGAAAATTGCAACCAGAAAACTTTTTGATGTGTATTCGTGATATTTATAATGACAAGGAATTTGATTTAAATCATATCAAAGGCGGACTACATCGAGATGGAATACTACATTTAGTAAGGAATTATAAGCCGAATAAAATAAAAACATCTGCCCTGAAGATGAGGATAGTGCTGACAGATCAACTTCCAGTTCATTTCGTGCCGCGAGGCTCCCTTCCCCACTTTGTAGATCCTTTGGCAGCTCCAGAATCGCAAACTCTTTTTGACATAATCGAAAGTTCAAGCTTATTTTTTATAAAATTGCTCTAAGAGTCTGCAAAAAATAATAAGCCGGATACAATTAGAAGATTAAGGAACAATGCAATCTGCAACATTAACTGAAATAGATAATTTTAGGCTAGCTTATACCATCCATTATACATTAAATGGGCATGCATAAATGCATATGCGCATGTGTAAAGGTATTATGTGCATACGTAAACACTATGCATGCACATAAAGTTTGTAGCTTTGAGGTCTGGATTATAGATCATTCCGGATTATGGACTTTGTACTGTATTGGGTCAGGAAGCAATTCAGTGTACAGTTGCTGCAATCAACAAGGATATCTTACAAGCAGTATTTGCAAATATCCAGATCAAGTTCAAATCTACCTGTGCCATGGTGAAAAATGTTTTCTCACTTTTCACAGATTAAGATAAATATTCATGTACTTAACAAAATGCATGGCTTCTGAGATATTTGCATTTTTCTGGATATTATAGCTAAACTATATATTATTTTTTTAATTAACTTCAAATTGAAAGTTACAAACTTCAAACTGAAAGTTAAGTTTTGATTTCTGATAAAAACGTCAAGCGGAAAGTTAAATTAAATTTCAAACAGTAATCTGTTCTGTTTAATTTTGACCATGCTGATGAAATTAATTTACTGCATGGAATCATTGGTTGGCCAGAAATATAAAATGAAAGTAAAAGCCATTGTATATTTATGAAGTTTCATTTACTATGTGTTAAAGTAGTTAGGGGCAGGAGAGATGTTCAAAGGAAGCAGCTGAATGTTATTCAGAAACAATTACAATTTGGAATTGAATACTACTACTGATTTCTAAAGGAAAAATTCTCATGGCCATAATGAATCAAATGCCAATTAAACAGTGCTCAGCTGTTTTCACTATGTAATCTTTGTTAATGAAGATCAATTTTTACACCACAGAACACTGTTGATCTTGTTATTTGGTTGCCTGACCTTTTTGTAAGTTCAACTTGCTTTTTTTCCCTATAAAAGATGAACTAACTCAAAATATACTGTGATGAATGAGATGGTCTGCATTATTCCATAAAAACCATCGAGCATCATGTTGATAGGAGACATACCAAGTGCACTCACTTTTTTTTTTTTTTTCTCCTTTTTGAGTCAGTCTTCAATTAAAGATTACTGGTCATTGAGTTCTTATGTGTTAACTTAAAAGCTTAAAATATCTCAGCTTTTGGACATAAATTTTTTGACAGGCATAAATACAGAGGTATAAGCTGTAAAAGAACAACACTCTGATGAGTCACAGCTAAAAGATAAAAGTCATAAATACATTTTCAGCCACAGGCAAAATAAAACGTTAATTAGGAAGTAGTAATTGGAAATATCCTTTTTATAAATACCACACTTTATCGCCTCTGCTTCTGTAACTGGAAAAGCTAATGAGGTTTAATTATATATGGTGTCATTTTCAGAATGCTATTTTAAAGAAAAACCTAATCTTATATTTTAAATTTTATCTAGCATGCTTTTGCAACTGACAGCAGTGTAATTCATGGCCATATTCAACTGCTGTTTGTTATAGCTCTATACTATATATTTTTTAAGTAGTCTAAATTTGTCTCCACTCTTTTGTTGTTGTTGTTATTGTTGTCATGCCTATGATAAGCATATTTAAATAATGCCATAGATAAAGGTGACAGTCCTGGCAATCTGCAAAATGTTATCATCATAGAGGTTTGGTCTCTTAATCCTGTGAGTGTTATGGCCGGCTTTATCCGGTCATGAGATTTTTTGTCATTTGTTATATATTAGCTTATAATTTATGATATTTGCTTTCTTACTTTATTTAATAATATAAATATCATCTTAATAGATGTAAGTTTATGAAAAATAGAACCTAAAGTAAGTAAATATATAAATTTAGCTAATAAAGTGTCTTTGAATACAGGTCTTCAAAAACCAAAAATCTGTGCCACTCAGAGGGTTAAACAAGACCCCAATTTTTAACAATTCGGCAAGGTTGGCTGGACAATCAGAAATGTGTGCAGTTGTCAATTCTGTCTCTGAACAGTTATCACAGAGACTTATCATAGAAAGAAATGCCATAGCCCAAAGGGTTGGACTTCTGCTTGTTGGACCATGGAAGGTATTTTATTTCCCTTCTACCTCCAAGGCATTCCTCTATCCACCACCTTCGAACATGCTATGTAGGGGCTACAGGCTTCCCAGAGAGTCCACTTTTTTGTATTGTTGTTTTTTTAACATGAGTTGTCATTAATATATTGTCCGAGATGGTGAATCATTCTTCTGAAAACAATACTTTGTCATCATATTTAAGAAATATCTTAGATGAAAAAGTGCAATGCTGGAAATGTTAGACACCCTAAAGACGAAGCTGTTTAGCATGTTATTAAAATTGTTATTCAACCGGAGGATATTGTTGTATAACTGTCTGTTTTCAAGTAAGTTCAGCTTTACTTCATGTGATAAATTCTCAAGCAGTTCTATCCCTCCATCAGAGAGGAAGAGTTGTTGTAGGATGCAATTAATTGTGATGTTTTCTTTATGGACTGATGTTTGTTTCCTACAAAATAGATTTTGTTACCGACAAAACAGGTTACTTAAAGGTTTTTGTTAGGTGCTATCTAGTAAGCTACAAAGGAAATTGAACAGAAGTTTATCTATGATAAATTGAAGAAAGGTCATGAAAAAAAGGTTGATAGTATAATTAGCCTCTGTCCTGCAAAAAAATTGTTATTATTATGAACTCGCTTTCATTTCAAAATTGTAATTGCTACTTCAGTGGATTTTTTTCCCTTGCCATCTATCAAATCTGAATATTTGTATAGAATTTTGTTCTTGATGTTGAGAGCCCACCAGCGGCCAAGCGGTAAAGACGCTGAACACTGGTAGAGTTCGGTCCGAGGTTCGAATCCCGCAAGTGGGTTGGCTGCATGGATGTTTTCATGGTTTTCCCCATGTGGAACGTGTATACGAGCCAGTTTCCCTTAGAAAGTCGTCTACAAAGGCATCCCCCCCTCCCTTTAGGCAGATAGCCCTCGTGTGCTTTGCCATAATTGAATAATCCTAATCCTAATCTTGATGTTGATCTTAAAAAATAGAAAATTGCTATTTTTTAGAACAGTGTTGTAAATTAAATAAAAATATTTAATATCTGAATGGAAAACATTTAATCTGTATCCATGAACTCATATTGTCATTATTGTCTTCTCTGGCATTATAAACTTCCATGTTGTCTTTGCTCCTGAAAGAAAATCATCATAAATAATAAAGAATTATTGTTTTTCATTAAGAAACAAAAACAACCGTATCTTGAATGAAAATATCTGTTCCTAATATAGAAAAAATGTGCCTTAAGTTTTTATCCTTTTTTTTCCTATGTTTTATTTTGAAAGGTTTTTGTTTTGTTTGTGTGTTGTTCATTATAATGTATGTGCAGTTAACTGGTTTTTAATGAAATGACGTGCATGTACAATTTTCAGTTGTGTAGTTGAACTTATTATTATATATTATAAAATGATTGAATATTTTTTTAAGGTGCTCATGGCATTCCAAAAAGGAACTAAAACCAAAAATTCTCTTACTACTGGAATTGTAACAGAGGACAAAGAAACGCAGGAGTTGATAGAAAAATGTTACAATGAACTTATTGAAGTTAGCAAAGCTATAGCAGCTGAACGCAACATGCATTACACTAACATAATAAATGTGGAAGCACTGCGGCAGATGTCTAGGGAAATGCCAATGGCTGAAAATGATATGTTGGCAATTCCTCATGTTACTCGTGTAGTTTATGAGAAATATGGCAAGCGATTCCTTGAAGTTACCCAAAGATATGCTGCTGAGCGTTGTGGTATGCTTTATTTCATTTCAGACATTTTGCTCCTATATATTATATGACTGAGAATGAATATAATATTTTAGTAAATCATTCACGCTTTTCAAGCATCGTGTAAATATTTAAAAGAGGAAGATAATCAGCAAAACTAATTGACATAATGTAAGTAATATATGCAGTATAATGCTTTTGTAGGTCAAATACCTTCTTTAATAACATTGATTGATCATTCCATATGTAACAAAGTAGTTAAAAAGTGTTCCAGGAAAAACATACTTTCATTTTAAGCAATCGTAAGATTTTAGTATTAATTTACCTTTCCTTCTGATTTGTTGCAAAATTGCATATATTTGTGTGGGTTTAACTTTTATATCGCCTTTTTTTTTTTTTCTCTACCAAAAAAAGTTTATGATTCAGTATATGAAGGCCCTATGAACTCATGAAGTAGCTATGGCGTAATATACACACATTGATGAAGCAAGAAGAAATTTGAAATATCTCATCAAGTAACATGAAGCTTTTGTTTTAAAAAAAAGTTTACCAATCAATCACTTAGCATAGATCTGTATGATAATTAATAATGTCTATTGTCTTATTATCAGTGCTGAAACTGAATCCCCGAGAAGGTATGAATATTTAATGTTTTAAAAATAAATAATGCATTTTCAGTGTGGGGGCATTAAAAATTCATTGAACTGGAAGTCCTTTTGAAAGACTGGTATTAAAAGAAGAGAGATACAAAACTTCTGTATTACATCCTTTGTATGTTCTTGATCAAACCTGGGATAAAGGTGGGCAAAGTTGTATTGTCACTAGTTGGTTGTTTAAGACTTATGACAAGTACTTTAACTTCCTGCTCAGTATCATTTTTGAGATTCTTCGTAATGGTTACATTCCTACAAATGGTGAAGTGGATTAACAACACTGTTATTCATTAGAAAGGCATATTTTCTATTCCTCTGCTTACAAAATTAAAAAAAAATTTGTTTTCAATAAGAGAACTAGATTTTTGGCAGGTGTTTCACATCCATAAAAATCAATTTTTAGAAATTGATTAGATGATTTAGATTAAGATAATTTTTAGATAATGATATGGATTTTAGCCACTATTTAACTTTGGAAGAACCTTATTCTTTAGTTTCCTAATCATTCATTTTTCAATCTAAAAAAGATTGTATCGGGTTTTATTTCCTATCATTTGATAAGAATTCTCTAGAAGGTTCTTCTGTGTTGCCACTTAAATACATTTCTATTCTAATTTCATACTCTTAATTCAAAAAGAAAGTATTGTTATTTTACTTATATCAATTTTTGTCTCGAATTTTTATTTGTTTTACTTCCGTCATTTAAAGAATCGTACAATGTAGTTGCATTTTTACAGAAGGAAAAATCATTTATATAGAAGAATAACAAAATGCACAGATGAAAATGCATATATATATTGTTATGAATTTTGTACATAGATGAGTTTAGTGATTAGTTATATGTTAAATTATATTTGTGTATAATGTAACGTGAAAATCTAGAAGAGCAAAGTTTGCCTGAAAAGTAGCAATACAGGGGCAAGTCTATTTAACACGTTCCCTGCCGTGTGGGGCGTATGCGCCCCATGCTAAACTTTCCATTCAAGCCATTTGGTATTATCATTGTAAAATGAAGAATTTTTTAAAAATTCATTATGTGGTCAATTATGGGCATCTTAATACTACTGCTAATGCCTTCATTTAATCATGGGGTGTATAAGATCCACGCGGCATGATGGGCAATTTTTTTTCTCCGTAACTTATTTCAACTGCATTCCTCGTATTTAGATCAGTCATTTATTCACGTGTCATTGATACACTATTTACTGCTTCACTGAAGCTGGGATTGATTTATAGTTCAGTGTGTTAGACGAAGGAAATACGGTACATACATATTATTTCAGTGTTATAAATTCGGATATTTTGCATTTTAAAAATGGTAGCAATTTTTCCCGCCTCTTCTTCTTCAGACCTTTTCCAAATTTTACAATAATTACTCCTTCAGATATGGCATAACACAGCAACAGTTTTTATAGTGATGATTCTGACGATGAGGAAGGCCACTTTAATTCGATAAGAAGGCGCTGTAAAATTTGTTACGAAAGAAATGTTAAAAATTTGGGTTCCTAATCAGCAAGAAACTGTACTGTAAAAGTTGCAACATTCTGCGATAGTTGTGTGGATAAACCACACTTATGTTTGCCATGTTTTAATAAAGTTCATCGTAACATCCCATTTTAATTGCATACAAACTTGAATTTAACTAAAATGTTATATTAAAACTGATATACGTACGATAAAAAAAAAATTATATGTGAGGATGCAACTTGCTTGGCATAGTAATGTTCAGCCAGGTATTTGTTAAACTAATTCCTAGAAAAATAAATTTATTGCTTTGTTGTGTTATACATGTTAAACTATACAACCTTTCTTTGATAATTATGATTTTTGCGCTATTTTAATTATTGTAAGGCATACGCCAGAAACAAAATAATACAAAATTCAGACCGCGTGGGGCACATATGCCCCACGCGGTCTGAATGGGAAGTCTTCAAAAAACGGTCTTGCAGGGAACGTGTTAACATTGAGTAATTGGCTATCTCACTAAATTGCTGAATGGTGACATTTTGATCCAGTTCTTGTATCACTGTAATATGTATTGCAGTTGTATAAATGTAATTGATAATTATATTAGCTGTAGCCATAACTCGGCCCTTCCAGTAATTTCGAGAAGCAGAAAGTACTAAATGCATCTCTGCAGCCAGGTAAAAACAATAAAGAATGAACAGAGCATCTGCTCTCAGTTATTGTTAAGAGTTGTTAGTTCCAAGTGACTTTGGTCTGTTGAAAGTTTCGCCTTTTAGATGCACATTGCATTGCAATGCATTTAACAATCTTAGTAGTTTGAAGTGTACTACTGATTGTGTTATGTGATACTGTGAACAACTGTATGATTATTTCTGTGGAAAGTTCCAAACTCTTAAGTGCTTCATTTGAAAAAATAAATTTTATCAACCTATCATCGCAGCTGTGTGTATTCTGTCTTTACGATTCCGTACGCATGAAACAGTTTTTAGCATCAGAAGTGGAGTTGAATGCCACTAACTGAGAGCTGATTCAGCTGATCGAGACCCATGGAATGACAAAGAAGTCAGGAAAGACTACTTGGCAGACGGTGACAATAAACCCATAATTGACTTGATGGAGTCTTCAGATAAGAAGTGTACCTGGCAGAACATAGTCCTATGACAATACAGTTTGGGATCTTTTAGACTTGCGGCATATTTGAAATGGCACTTATACTGGACGTTTGAGTCAGATGATGGAAAGGCATTCTGCTGGCAGCTGATACTTCCTGGATCACAGACATCCTTAAAGATTTACACAGCAGTACAACAGAAAGCCATTTCGGAATAATGAACATGTTGCATAAAGTTTGAGAGTACTTTGCAAAGGCTGATGTGCAAAAGTGCTAAAGAAAGGACTGAAGAGACACAGTTGAGGTAACCTGCAACGTTACAATGCAGAAGCATCTTTTGAATGCATTGCCGTTGACATTTTGGGACCTCTGCCATGAACTGCTAATGGCAACAATTGCATACTTGTTGTCAGTGACTACTTCACCTTGTGGCCTGAAGCGTATCCTATTTCTGATCAAGAGCCTGTTGTGATAGCGGAGATACAGCATTGGATTTCCAGGTTTGGAGTGCCTCTTCAGTTACATTCCAATCAAGGAAGAAATTTTATCTCCGCTGTAATTGGAGAACTCTGCAAGCTATTCGGCATCGACAAAACTCAAACAACACCTTTACGCCCCCAGTCAGATGACATGATAGAGAGATTTAATCGAACCATCCTTAATAACTTCTCACTAATGGTTTCCAGAAACCAGCAGGACTGGGACAAGAAGTTACCACTGGTTTTACTGGTCTATTGCAGTGCTGTCCACAAGGCTACTGGCTATTCCCCATCGCAGATGCTCTTTGGTCGTAATCTTTGTCTGCCTTGTGATCTCTTATTTGTTACCCCTCCAGATCTACCTTCATTGCTTGAGGAGTCATACAAAATTTCCAGGCAAGGTTTGTAATGGTGCACAGTTTTGCATGAGATTGAGTTGATTTGACGATGGAGAAGATGAAGACCTGATATGACACAAAAGCTGCAGGCCATCGATTCAACGAAGGTGACAGTGTTTAGTTATGGAATTTGATTTGACAGAAGGTACTGTCACTTAAACTACAGTCACCTTGGAATGGTTCTTAAACAATCCTAAACAGGCTGAACAATATCATAGTTCAGATCTGTAAGTCATCAAATTCTAAGCCTTTAAGTCGTTTATTACGAGAGTTTATTATTATTATTCCCCTTATTAGTCCAGTACTAGTACATAGTTCCCATAGTGTATACAATGTAAATAGTATATGAAGATCATGGTCCTATTTGTTTCTATATTTTTTAATTTGGTGCGCTCATTTATTGATTTTATTTGTTTGTTTTATGTTATTTATTGAAATTTTTGTTTAAGTATTGCATTTATTTGTTTTAGTTGTAAGTATAACTTCTGGTTCAGGGACTGTACTGCCCAGGACATGCAGTCCTTGTAAGGGGCAATGTTACAAATTTTGTACCTAGATAGGTGATTTTAATGCAGTTAATTATATGTGATTTTTTTTTTTTTTTTTTTTTGTGTGTGTGTGTGTGTGTATGTGTTTGTGTGTGTAATGCAACATGAAAATGTAGAGGAATCAAGCTTGCCAGAAAGGTAAGGCTACAGGAGCAAGTCTATTTAAACATTGAGTAAATGGCACCTTACTAATTTAGCAAGATATCACTTAGCTGAAAGCAATTTTGATGACTAATTTTTGTCACCAAATTTGACGAAAAATCGCCAAAAGTCAACAAACTTTGCAATACTTTGGTCTGATCCTTGTATCACTGTAATAGGTATTGTAATTGAATAAATGTAATCAATCACTTTATTAGCTGTAACTG